CCCACGCTCTGGGAGAAAACCATGAATTCGACTTCACGGGCACGCGGATAAAGGCATGCGCCGCTAATAAGATGGTGCGAGAACTACTGGAGGCCTGGGTGTCAGACTTCCATTCCATCATCAGACATGTGGATATACGGCCCTGTTATTCTCCCCTCCGTGCGCGCGACCAAGAATAACGGCCCAGTTCGTGTCAGGGTACGCACGCTGCCACGCCAAGGACGCAAGACACGGTGCCAAAGCCACAAGTCATAACGCTAAGAATGCGCGCAGGGGCGATATGATGGGACGGGGTGAGCATGGACCAATCACAAATTCTACCCCTTGCTTCTTCCCCTACCCCCCATTTACTTGTAGCTAGACTATGAAAGCATGCTAGCGCATGTTGTTTTCTCATCTTATCCGACGGTGGCCTCTTATGTGAAAGCCAAAGCTCAAACTAATACAATTACTGTCCCAGTGATGGCGTTTTTTTTTCTTATTTGAAAAAGAGATGAACATTGCGAACTAAAAAAACATAAAAAACTAACCTTTAGCAAGTTTAGTATTCGTGTCCTTCAGCTCCTCATCCAAATGCACAATCTTTTCAGAAAGTTCTTCAATACGCTTACGAAGAACGTCGTACTTCACAAAATCAGCACTCTCCGCGCGTACTTGCCGTTTTTCTGTGACTGGCAAAGGCGGAGCCGGCTTCTTGGGAACCGGTCGTCGGCAATTCGGCGAATTTCCCACAGAAATGGAGAGGGGACGAGCGCTACTATCTAGGGGATCTTTTCGGGGAGATGGGTGGCCCTGGCTGTGTGCACAGTCTTCGCGAGATGAAGCGCAAGTTGTGCAGGGCCAACTTTCGGAGACCTCCGCCGAGGAGGAGATATGCGAGTCTGTAGAACTGTAGCATTCGGAACCGCTACCTTTTAGGTAGGGATTACGTGCTGGGGTTGTCAGGGGGGAGGGAGGAGGATTCACAGACGGTGGTGGTGGTGCCGGCCGCTTCTGTCGATAACCAGGACGTACACTCCCAGTCGATAAATTTGTTGCTCTGTACGATGATGGGGACCCGTCTTGTCGTGGTTTTTCATCCTCCTCTTCTTCACTGTCGACTAGACCATCAAAAGGATTAGTTGGAATTGCGGC